GCTTGGCCCTGAGTATTTCCACTCTGGAAGTCAACTCTGTGGATTGGTATTACTCTTGCAGAAGCAACAAAACACCTCCAAACACCAAAATATCCCAGTGAAGTCCCCAAGGGTCTAGTTCCCATGTTACCAGGAGGAGACCCAAAGTTAAAATGAAAGTCTGCCTCTTTTTTTTTATTTTTTTTTTCTTTCTGATGCGCCAGGATAAATAGAAGCAAATAAAGTGCTTTGATTCTGACCCTGAAAGTGCTAGCTCATCAAAATTTGTGCTTTAGTACCTTATAGTCACCTCCGTGCAGTTCACTGCCCTGTTGCAGTAAGTGGTGAATATGCGTACGACACACCTGCTCGCTCTTTCTAGTTATCTCCTGCGAGGGCTTGTATTTTAAATGAAGCAGACAGACAGACAATGCTCAAGGGAAGAAGTGTCCCATTTTACAGATGGGGAACTGTGATACAGACTGATGCATTTCTAAGTAGCTTTCTGACCACACAGGTATTTGCATACTTGTTTGGAACATCTGCAACTTTAAGTTTACAGGGCTTTGCAGGACTTTTTATATCATACAACTCCCTTTTCCCACTATATCTTTCTTCTCTTTGATTCTTCACCTCCCTCAAGAAAATATTTCAGGAGACACCTTTGAATGTAGATGGGATGCTCTGTGATTGCAGGCTGAAGTGTATGGGCCCTGTTACAGACTGAGGCTGCCACAAGGATGGGTCATTTCATGGTGTCCGGAGAAGGCTTACTTTGAGGTTACTTGTGTAGAAGATATTCATGTGATGTCCTGTGAAATTCTTACCACATAGCTTATCATCTCTCCTCAGCAGACTTTCCATCTGTCTGCAAGGCTGATTTTTGCTTTGTTATCTCTGAGCATTTCTTACAGGATGGAATAAGAGAGTAAAACTCAAAGTTATCAGTGATCTGCATTACAGTGATGAGACATAATGAGTTTAGAGTCTTACTCTTTCTTACCAATTGTTCTTGATGGCAGCAACTAACATCTATTACCAGGATATTATTATTAGTCTAATTTGGGATAATAGATTTCTCTTTTTATGGTTCACATTGCTTTCACTTGAAGATTGCATTGTGAGGCCATGCGGCATCCCTGGTGCAAATAGAGTATTAGAAGCGCCCTCTCCTGTGCAAAGGTTCATTGTGCAGGGGAAATAGGGAGTGCAGTGGGATGCAAACCACCCCAGGAGGAACTAGAGGGGATGGAGAGGACTAGTAGGTATCACATTCTCGCCTCTAGATACTAGATGCAGAAGACAAGCAAGGAGATCCAGCTTTGGGGATGCTGCCAACCTGTGTGGTTCCCTGCACACCAAAGAGGTTAAGAAAATTATTTAATCTCTTTGATGCAATCCCCCCACCCTTATTTGCTGCCTTTAGTTTGTGCTGGTTTGACAATAAGACAGGTATTCCAGCCTGTCAGTCAACTTTGGCGTCATTTCACTATAGAGGATGTTTCCTAAAAGACCTATCCCACGGCGTGACCTGTAGGATGACAGTATGCTCATGAAGAAAAGCTATTAGATTGTGGACAATTTTGAAAGCCTGGTTCTGAGTTAGGTTTCATCACTTACTACCAACAGAAATTCAACATTGGGTTGTACATGATAGCAGGGACTAAATCAGATCAGCTACAGGGTCACGAGCTTTGTCACGCGTAGAGAGTCTGAGTTCATTTGTGTCTGGTTCTGCCTGTTTTGTATAACTATTCTCTTGAAGCAAAATTTAATACTGAACATGAAAGCATTTCTTAGACAGGAATAGAGTTTTATAAGTGAGTTACCCCACACAATTACTAAAAAAATGCGGTCTTTAGAAAAAACTTAAAATTGATGAATAATTAAACAAATGAGATATATTGTCTGCAAAAACTAGTTTGGCCAGCTCTAGTTCATAGCCAGAAATTATTCACTTCATGCTTTACAGTCATACTTAAAATAATCAGTGATCCACTTATCTCCCAGGTACATTATGAACGTCTGAGACATATGTAAAAATAAAATCATGTTTTATTTATTCAGTAATAATAAATTCTTTAAATTCTTTAAATCAAATTATGGAAGTTATAACCGAGTAAACGCTGAATACAAAAGAGAGTCAAATTTTTGAATCTCGCCCCTGTTACACTAGTGAGCAACTTACCCATTCTGAACCATACATGTGGAGATCTGGCTGTCTAGAGATCAAGTTGGGAAGCATGGCCTAGGCTTGGTTCTGTACTCTCTCCAAGAAGTCATCTTATAGCTTAAATTGAGTTGAGGAAATCAGGGGACAGATCCAGATAGCTGGGCTGAGAACTGCAGATGTGATGTAGTAGGTGAACCTTTCTTCACAGCACGAAGCAGTCCCTGCAGGCTCACTGGTACTCTCCCTTGCAGGAGGACAGGATGGGAAGATCCACACAATCAATCCATCCTTCAGATCTGCTCTGACCCGAGTAGTGTCCTTTGCTGTGTCTCTAGCAAGTGTCCCAGTGTTGAGACCCTTCTTTTGCCTGTATGGTGCAGTCAGTATCTGTGTGACAAAACAGATCACGTGCTTCAGTTTATCACATGAGAAACGGCTTATCTGATGGGATTGTTTAACAATGTGGAAATAGCATTTCTTGATGTCCTCAATCAGATGTCAAGCTGCTTTTCCATTTATCCAAACAAGTCAGGATTTGCAGTTTTCCCATGTGAATACATAGCTTGGTACCTGGCCCCTAATCCCTGTAACAGAATATTTTAGTTCAGAATGCACCTCTGGAGATCATCTAGGTCATCTTCAGTGTTGGATCAGGATGTACAGAGCCTTGTCACCCTTAAAGCTTTTATTTCAGAATACATCTGAACAAAAAAGCTTCAAGGATTTTCATTAAAAGAGGATGCATAATGAAATAGTAATTTAGAACAGCATGTAAATTAGGCAAGGCAAAAGAATTACAGATGTTGCATCAGATCCTGCTAATCCGTGTCCCCCGCACCTGCAGCGCTGGGCTCCAATATTGGTTGCTCTAAAAACACTCATGTTTTATCAGAGGAAAAACATCAGACAGATTTCAAAATTCATCGAGGTGAATATCTAATTTACATCCATTTCAGTCGGTTCAGAAGTCTGTGTCTTTGATTTCTTCTAAATTCACTGCTATTATTCATCAGAGTTTTACATTTGGACTATGAAAATCGTGAGGTTGGGGCAGTTTGCATGTGTGTCTTCAGAGATTAATCACCAATGCCCTGGCTGACTGGCCTGTTACGAGCGATGCCTGCAGTGTTTGTTTTGGTTGTTTTTTTTTTTTTTTTTGGTAATGGAAAGTTTGATTTTCAGCAAAGTTACAGATATTCAGCACTTTGCAGATCTCTCCTCTGTACCTTAGAGAGTTTGATCTCTGGGATGCAAATGAAAATAGAAAACCACAATCTGCTAATTAGCATCACAACAGAATTTCATATTTTTCTCTTGTTCAATTCAGTATTATCTGAACTACTTTTGAGGACATAAGCCTTTCATAGGTAGATGCCAGAGGAGTCATTAAATAATAGTACAAAATCAAATATCTCATAAATACAAAAACTTAAGGAAATGCCATTTTGGCACAATGCTTCTTTGCAAAAGTGTATAAGAATAAAGCATAATATACAGAAATTCCTTCAAAAAAATTAAAACATTATGAAGTATTTACATTAACATTGGCTAATGTTGGTTCAATTCAGAACTGTCAACATTAATGACAATTTAAAAATATTACAGAAATACAACATTACAGGTGAAGCAGAATGATGCTGTGAAACACTACAAACTCCCACTCAGATAAGCATCTAAATGATTAATGCTCTTTGTTTTACTTTGATCACATAAAAATATGAAGAAGCCATTTAGATAAATCTTGCCAGATTTGTATCATTTTTTAATTTCTGGTTTGAAGGCACAGGATACTACCATCAATAATTTATTCATAGTGAAAGTGGCAGCAGCAACAATGAAATCTGGCCCAGCATAGTCTTGTGTGTGCACCACCAGCGTGTCCGAGGGAGTTCCCATCTACGGGGAGAAGGGACTCCATTCTCCATGCTGCCAGCCTGCCCTTGTCAGTAAGGCACTTAACACTTGGACAGTCTCATGAACACTGAAAGTTGGATCAATACCAAAAGGGAGGTGTTAGCTTCGTTAGAAACGAAACACAAGTTCAACAAACATTCGGAGATGGCATAAAACCAGTCCATGACACCACACGGAAATGTATGATTTTTTTATATACTTCAGTGCATTCCAAATTTAACTGCAAAATAAGTCAAATCTACTAATTGTAGAATATCAAGCATTAGAATTGTACCTTTTAAGAATTTCAGGACAGGATCTCGACAAACACAGTAGAAGTACTGTTGGTCTGTGTTATCAGGGCACTGTTTTACCCTTTAATTCTCCCCAGAATGTGCAAGGTAGATAAAGCTGCATACTGAAGTATTAGGAACATTTTCAAAGCTCTTGTTGAAAGACTACTTCATTTTTAATATTTTCCACTGGTTAACCGCAAACGTTAGCAACAGAGTATGTGTATGAGAATCTGAACACGTACCTCCTCAAGAACTAAAAATTTAAACCATAAGAATGGGCCCTACATTGCTCTCCTCAGCAGGGATTTTTTTTTTGTCCCCCTCAGAAGATAAAACTGATTCTGAATTCACATGACAAAAAGACCCAGTCCAAAACCCAAGCTTTTAAGATTTCAGTTTGAGTCAAAGTAAATGACTTTTAGTTTATTCCACATGTCCTGAGCAAAGCAATATTTTCACCAATGATATTGGTGGGCAAACTTTATTGTAGGAGACAAACAGAAATAAGAAGTATCACTCCTGTAGTGTCTCCAAGGAGTTCCTGGCCCATACACTATGACAAAATTTCCTACGGACGTCAGCAGGTACATACTGATGTGCTGCAGTCTACAGCCCGCAGCTAGTGTTGGGAACATCTTATTTGTGTCAGAAGCTAACCGCTAGCTACCACCTTCTTGGTCTTTGCCACTATTACAGTTCTTTTGAATGCCAGATGAATCTGGTATTTTTTTGTTTTCTTTTCTTAGCCCTCCTTTCTGTAATTCTTTTGACAGAATTTTCGATTCTGTGATGTCAGTCTTCTGATTAATGGATGAATTCAGCTTGGATGAGTTCCATCTCCATCTTCTGACACTCCTATAAAAATCTTTTCTGACGTTTTCGCTAACCAGCACATAGATGATTGGATCAGCAACGCTGTTTGCAGTGGCTAAACACAAAAACACTGTAAAAACCGAATATATATCTTTTTCAAATGGACATGGGCAATTTTGGTGAAACATAAAGTATATAGATCTTATTAGGAGTACCACATGGTAGGGAGAAAAGCAGATCAGGAAAATGACAATAATGGCGATAGCCAGATACTTCACTTTGGCTTTCTGGTGATAAGTCAAGCTGGTGCTTGTTTTTGTACTTTGGAAAATTTTGTAGTTTGTGAAAATGAGGATTGTGAAAGGTATGGCAAATCCAAACAGGAATCTGGCAAAGCTGAAAGAAGCCAATTGTATGGTAAGGGGCAAAGTCTCAAAGCAGGTCATGTTAGTTATATTTGTGTCTTCTTTGTTAGGATTTTTATCACCTTCCATGTAAAATACTGGAGTGTGGATTATCGCAACCACAGCAAAGAGAAAACACACTATTCTGATTGCGTTTTTCTGTCCTCTTTTCCCCCTTGACTCCAGAGCATACACCAGCGCCACATAACGATCCACAGAAATGCAGCACAAAAGCAGAATGCTGATGTATATGTTGCAGAAAAAGATGAATCCTGTTATTCTGCAAGCCAGTACACCCATATTCCAGTGGTGATCATTTTGCACATAGGTAATCCAGAGAGGCAAGGTACTTAAATACATCAGCTCACACAATGATAAACTGAAAATGTAGATGGCAATTACTTTATGCCTTTGGATTTGTAAAAACGTAAGCAGGGAAGTTAAGCAATTTGCTGGAAAGCCTATGGCAAAAACGATGATGTAAACAGCAGTCAGAAGTATCTTGCTCTCTTTGTAGGGAATTCCTGTGCAAGCGGAGGTATTTGTACAATTTTCCATTATTCTTCTTCCAGCTGGTGTTTCCTGAGAATCAGAAGACAAGGTGGAAAGTTAGCATTAGCCTAATTTAAAAATGTGTCAGTAAAGGCCCTGTAGATGCCCCCATGTAAGAGGAACAAGTGGGATGCTTGTCTTGGGGAAGCATTTGAGACAGGCAAGTTTTCCAGGACCTCCTGTAGTGTCCCCTGGGAGTCAAGTCTCATTTTTTCCAGGAAAAAGTGAGTTTCTTCACAAAGAATTTCTCGACTACAGCATGCCTACAACGGGGTGTTGGGGACTGTCCCTAAACCAGGCTGCCTCATAAATAAGACAGAGCTGCTGATCAAATACTAAAGTCACTTCCCAGAAGAAAGTGAGGGCATTTGTCTTCAATTCATTTTTTTCAAACCGAGTAACCAAAAATGCAAACAGTAGAGTTTTCAGAGGCAGACTTCCAAAAGAAGCTATCATTTATGGTCGGTCAGATGGTGGGTGATGGTAGTTGTGTCAGTGACTACCCAGCGTAGAGGAGCTGGAATCTGGCCACTGGTGTGTACATCCACACTTTTACAACATAGTGTTTTAGATCTAGCTAATGCATTCTTCTCTCCTCCCTCCTCTTAATGAATAACTGCAGCTGAAGAGCATAAACTTGTATATAACACCCACCATATTAAGCCAGAGAAACTGCCTACCGCATCTGTTTGATGCCTCTGGGAAACAACAGGAAATAAGGGCAGTTAGAGGAAATAAACAAGACCAAAGAAAAGAACATACACACGCCACGTCTAAGAAATAAAGGCGAAGAAAATGAATGCTCTTTGAATGCAAGTGGTTACAAAAACTTCCACCTTTCCAAGATGACCATACACAAAAGCAGACCTGGCATTTGGTTAGTGCTAAGTACTGCTGGGAGAAGCATTTCTGGCAAAGTCACATGATGATTTCCCTGCAGAAATCATCTCCAAGTGAAGAGGAATATGGAGGTTCATGCACTATAATGTTGTGTGCCCTTAAAAATTGTACTTTGCTGTACTTATGAGTTGAAGGTGTCCATTGTGTAACATCCTTGATTAAAAAAAAGGTCTTGTCCAGCCTAATCTTTTGAGCATTCTCTTACAGGGTGGACACCTGCTCCAGGGAACAGCCAGCTAACTCCACAAGGAGGAGGTGTGTTGACAGAAACTGAGTCCCTTCAGACAGAGGAGGGGTATAAGCTTTCCTGGTCCACACTGTGCACGAGCAATTTCTTTAACCCTGAGTTCATGCAGGGGAGAAGGTAGCTTTTAGCAGCCTTGGAACATTTATTTGTTGCTTGTTTGGGCCTGCCTCAAGCAGACCAAGGGGAAGCAGTCTGCTCCCAGTGCAGTGGGGTTGTACTCTGCATCTTTGGGCAGGTGGACAAGCTGGTGGGGCCATTCCTTCTCCTCCATGTGGGAAAGAGCAGTCCCTGGGGTGGCACAAGCAGCTCCACCCTGAATGCCTAAGAGACCACCTACATGCAAGATCCCTAGAGCTTGAAGGGCAATCAGGTCCCTTGACTTAGTGTAGTTACCAGATGATGAGAACGATATGAGAAAATGGACACAGGTTGCCTTGGCCTGCAAGACCCTCACAGCAGCATGGTGCTAGCCACAGCCATAAATGCCAAGAGAGGATCTCCTGGCCCATGCTGAGAGCTGTTCATCTCCAGAAGTACCCCAACACAATCAGAGCCTGCTCAATGACAGCGGCTTCTGAGTGAAGACGTCCTGGCAAGCCAGCAGACGGGGCAGAGGCAAATAGTACCTGCCGTCCCCGGCACCAGCAGCAGAGTAAGCTGTTCCCTGAGGTGAGAACGTTTGAAAGGGGCCTCTGCAGACAGAGGAACTGAGAAAGTGCTGTATGTGTAGAAGTACACTGGAGGGTGCAACCGTGCTCTGTGACTACCTTCCACTTCCCCCTGCAGCAATCCATGCTCTGCTCGTGTGCTGACGCATTGATGAGGGCTAGCAGGCGGTGCTCGCCGTGCTGATCAGGCCAAAGTGTCTTACTAGAGGTCCACATCCCTCGACATCTAACAGTCGTACCATCTGGAGGCCGGTGGGTACAAGCCCTCTCAAGGGGGATCTGAAGTTTCCTTTAGTTTCAAATGTTCCATCTTAAGAAGGACTGCAGAAGAGGATCCTCACTACTGCGCGGGGCGAAGATGTCACCGTACTCAGCTGGGCTGCCGTGAGGTTTCTGCATGAGAGGGTGTAAAATTACTTCCCTTCTTTTCTAGCAGTGAAAGCATACTGATAGCTGGTGTTAACTTAGAAAAACAATGGTTGTGATAAGGGCTGGTGGTGACTTGAGGTTTTTTCTGCCCCTGGGCATCTGCCGCCCTTGGTGAATGAGGTGGGGTCTTCTGTGGGCCACCTACCAAACCGCTGTGTGAAGGGATAAAAAAGGATGCTTGGTTTCAAGGTCAGCAGTGGTTCTCTGCCCAGACCTCACCTGGGACATGGCATACAAGAGCTTGTCCTCGATTCAGACATGCCTGACTGATGTGAGAGCTGCTGTACACCTGTAAAGCACAGCAGGTGAACACGGCTTGTAAGCGAGGGAGATGGCAGCAGCCGAGGCGGGGGGACAGCACAGTCACGCACTATCTTGGTTACTCAACGGCCGTCTACCTCTTGCACCTTAACAAAAAAACCTTCAAGAGTGGTTGAAGGTGTGCTCTCCTCCCCTCCCCCTGAGCTTTGCATACTTCTCTTGACCCTGTGTTTGTCTGATATTCTCCTTTCTGCACTGCGTACGCCTGTTGTTCACTGCTCTTTGTGTGAAGGCATGCATCCCGCAGAAGCACACGTCTCACCAGCAAGCAGCTGGAGATGCTGCAGGAAGGAAGTGGTAGAAGAGTTATTCTGTAGACACATGGTTCCCAGTGTTTCTCTTGCCTCTTTCCTTTGCCTCCTCCGTTCGCGCTGTGCTCCAAGTCTCCTTCCCACGCTTAGCACCTGTGAGTGAGCCTCGGGACGGAGGTGCCTGTGACTTCTTAAGCTGCCTGCACAGGACATGCTTTTTTTTTTCTTGGCTTGTGGCCTGTGGCCTAAGCCACAGGGCTGAGGTTGAGCTGAAGAGACCATCACCCTTAAATGACTGTCAGCTGCCAAGCACAAAGCCTCAACTGGCAAGGTGCAGCCATAGACGTGAATTTACACTTGTAGAGAAAAACCATGTGCTGACTGCCTCTCCTGAAGTTCTGGCTTGTCATCTCAGGAGCCTGGATCCTTCCCGGCAGTAATGCTCTATGTCTCAGCCCTATATCAGGAAGGAGGAGAGGAGGACATCCATTTGCTCCCCTCCTTCACCTTCTGCTGGCTCTCTGCCTTGTCCAGGGAAGAGTCTTCTGGCCCTAGCCACTGCATCCAGCCCCAGTTCTGAACTTCACTTGCCTCTGCTCAGCTCTCCAGGCCTGTGGAAGGGTTTCCTCCTTAAACTGAAGATCAGAAAGCAGCACTCAGCAGACAATTAATGACATTTCTCCCTGTGACATTGCCCCTCTGCAACTGAATGCACATTTTCATCCTGTTGTCAGGCCTTTAGAGTTTGCTGCTTTGATACCTGGTTCAGCCCAGAAGATTCACAGTTCTGTCTTCTTCTCTGGAGGCTGGGCTGTGATGGATGTATCCCCACATCTCTCAAATGTAGCATTCATAACTGTACTGCTTTATCTAAAGAGGCAGCTGGTTACCTGTGAGCACTTTGTTGTTGTCCCACACTGGTGCAGGACTGGAGCAAGCTAACTTGCATCTCAGATATTCATTCAAATAAAAAATAATTACACAGCTGAAAAAAACCATACACCGTTTCAGTGTCCATTTTCCGCTAATATTTGTCATGAGCAATTTTAGTGACAGAAACATTGGTCAGAACAGCAGAACTTAAGAGATTTATCACATCCAGCAATTTTCAAGCATTTATAAAGGGTCAAATGTAGCTGTGATGCCAAGGATGAGCGATATCCAAGAACATGTTTGTGAGAGACAAGCTGTTGCAACATATTAGGTTTTTTAGCTGTCCTGTAGCTTTCAGTTGAGCAAAGCCTGTCCAAAATAGCTGTTCTCACCTTTCTGTGAGCTATCTTGTTCTGCTAGGGCTCACCAGCCATTATGAGGTGCTACATCAGGTCCTGGCTATGTTTTGCATCAACAGCTCAGTGTATATTTAGCAGCACTCTGAGGCTCCTTGCTCCGTGAGACTTGCTGCATACAACAAACCACAGTCAGCATGTGCATGTTTCACACCTTCAAGACATGGGAAAACATCTCATCTTCCAGGACAGAGACATCACCTCTGGCTCAGGGAATGCCTGAGAACAAATCACTGGAAGATGGAGTTATCCACTAAGGAAGATCTGCTGTGTGCCTGCTCTGTATTTACACTCTTCCCTGGACATCTGGTCTTGGCCTAGGTTATAGCCACAATATTGGGGTAGGTAGGCCCAGCATTTCTAATGTTGTTGTGTTATGTTCATGCTGTTAGATGAATACATAATTACATTTCTTACTCCTAAAATGGAGTGCCTACATGCTCTAATGTATTGAGACCTTTGGAGAGAAAACCCTGGAAAAGGGCAGGGCACCTGGAGATGCCCAAGTAAAAAGGTTTGTGGATGGAAGAGGCATGATGGACATGAAATCCCATTTTCTTGGAGTGTGATGAGAAGGCAGCAGAAGTGTCTTGCTGCAGACTCGCCAAGCAGGGCTGTGAAACCAGATCGAGATTGACCGCCCTTTCCTCGCCTTCTCTTCGATCCAGTGCGCCTTGCATTCCATGTGGCAGGTGTCCTGGATTTACCAGGAGGAATGGAAAGGTGCTTTTTCTCAGGCTTTCCTAGAAAGTGGAAGATTTCAAATACCAAAGTGGTGTCTGGTCTAGATATCAGATCTTCCATCTTGTGGACAGGGGCCAAAGCACTGCTTTGTTGTGCAGGAGAGCCTGTGCGATGGTCATCCGTCCTCTCCTACCCAGCACCAGGGAGCATTGAACTATCCTACAGAGGTGCCCTGCACAGCTCATGGGAGATGAAATCATGAACTTGGGATGCTGTGAGGATGTGGTTTCACATCACAGCCACACCAGAATACAGCCTGGCCGTCACCCGTTTCTCGCTGCCTTGTCCCTGACCAGCGGGTCACCTGTCCCTGCAGTGAACGTGCCCAGAGTGGCAAGCCAGCAGAAAACTTGTCCCCTTTTTCTGTCTGGGTCTTCTGTCCAACAGTTGACCTTTCTGAAGAAAGTGGCTCACTAGGGTCAAAGCAGCACCAGGGCTGGCACAAGGGAATTAGTAGTGAGCAGCACATGGCCAGGAATGGAGCAGCCAGAGGCAGGTGGAGGTAGGGGTTGTACTGAGAGCAGCTTGGCCGTAATGTGAGCTGCACTGTCCATCAGTCTCCAGAGGCACTGCCGGTCTCTGCTGACTATTTAGGGGTCTTTGCAACTGAGTAACCCAACCGGGGGACCTTCTTTATGGATGCTGCAAGTGCTAAGCAGAGGGCTTTGGATAAGCAGTGCACCTGGTCGTTGGAGCCACGTGGAGGTGGACAGCCACCCTCTTCAGTTCTTTTGCCTTGAAAATGTAACTGCTAAGCCCTGAAAAGTGTGTGGACTTTTGTGAGCCTGTCAGCTTAGACCTTATCGCTCCAGAGTGAATGTTAAGATCTTCACTGGAATCTTGGCCCTGAATGAAGCAGAAAAGGGTCCTGGGACATGCAGAGACTTGACAGGGGGCTTCTGCTGCTCCTTCAGGACAGTTGCATTAATATCTGGTCTTCCCTCAAGAGACTGAAGTGTTTTTGCTACCACTGAGGTGTAAAGAGGGAAGTGAAAACAAGGGGGAAAGAAAAAGGCTTTGCACTTTTTTGTGTGTTTTATTTTTCTATGAGCTACTCATGTAAAACTGTTTCAACTTCCAACAGAGAAGTTGGAGTGATAAAAATAAGCCCTACTAGGAAAGGTAAAAAATAAAATTGCAGATGCAGTTACAGGGAAGAAAGGGAGAAGTCAAAAAAAGTGCAACAGTTTAACAGAGCACTGGTTGAAAGTCTTTGAGTTAATTTGGCTGGGATACAGAGGGACAGAAGAGAAAAAAGACACAGTGAAATCCATAAGTACAATTAGATCAGCAGAGCACATTATTTTATGTATTTTTCATTTTCTAATAATTTTCTGATCATCCTTCTATGCCAAGGATTGTTGTCAGAGCTGAAAATTTGGAGGGGTTTATGTGGATATTAAGAATAATTTTTAAAAGAGCCATGTTTATAATAGTTAAGATAAAAACAAACCATCCCTTCACACCTTCCTTCCTGCCCCCAGTATTTGGAAAAGATCAGAACCTACATGTTTTAAAGCATGAATCAACCATTACTGAAACAATGAGTTTCTCCTGAGTGGTTTTGTGTGCTTTCCTTAGTAGCATGTAGTACCGTAACTGTGTGCCAAAAGGTTACTAACGTGATGTCAGTCTGACCACTCAGATCGAGTGTCATAAGGCATCAGTTCCCAGATATGACAGATATACCACCTACAATACTCAGCAGCAGCAGTGTCACTCCTCTTCTGAACCTGGGCTTCTCCTTTGCATGCAGAACCTACATTACCTGTCTGTAAACTTTATGAACTATTAAACTTTATGGCCACTAGCTTTTGTGTCTGCTAACTTTAATAGAAAGTAAGAAATTGTTGTGTATTATTCGCTCTGCTGTTCTAGAAAGTGAGAAAAAATGTTTGTGGTATTTTTGTGGATAAAAATAGATTATGACCCATTAGCCCAGCAAGTCAGTGAGCTGGTTTATTTTTTGGTTGGGTTTTTTTTTTTTTTTTCCATTAGTAATAAACAAATTAGTAGATGAAGTCATTCCTGTAAGCAAGTCTCAGCATACAAAGGAAAAAGCAGCAATGGCTCCAGTTAGTTACCCAGCAGACTGATCATTTTTACTGACACACACAAGATAGTGGGATTTGAGACTATAAAGTTTCAAATTTCAATATAATATAATAATATATAATTTTGA